AAAAAAAAAAAAAAAAGAAAAAAAAGAAAAAATCCGATAAATAGGGCCCTTAACGTTGTGATACCTCCTGACATGAACAAACATGAATGACTATTTCTTCTACCCCTAATGAAATATAGTTTGAAAACCAATTAAAAGGTTTGCAAGTTGAAATAGTTTGAGATCCACATTACAATTCATTATATTATAACATTTATAAAAAATGATTGTAATGTGGCTGAACGTGTAATAATTGGTTGGAAATACTCTTAAAGCGTGCATGATATAAGAAAGCCACGAAAATTTTATCTTAAAAAGAATTGTATAATAGTACGTAAGCAAGCATTGATTATTTTTCAGCGGTGAAAACTCTTATGTTAAATGCATTTCAGGTGAAAAAGGAATTCTTTGCGATGCTACGTGAGCACAAAGACATCGACAGGCACTCACATTGGAGCGATTGTAAGAAAAAATTGGAATCGGATTGGAGGTACAGAGTCGTAGAATCGGCAAGCACGCGGGAAGATTGGTTTAGAGATTACGTTCGCATGCTGAAGGATGAGCGGAAAAAGGAAAAGGAGAAAGACAAAGACCATCGGCACAGAGAGAAAGATCACAAGACGGACAAGAAGGATAGAGATCGTAAGGAATCGGACAAAGGTAAAGAGTCGAAGTCCAGCAAGGACAGAAGTGAAAAAGATAGTGGTAAGGAAAAGAAGCAACGAAAGAGCGAGGCGCCTGCGGAGGAAAATGGAAAGGAGAAAAAGGAGACAGTGGTAGAGAAAGAGAGCGGAGAAATTGAAGAAACTGACGACAAAAGCGTGAAAAAGGAGAATGATGTAAGCATAATCAGTAATATTTTCTTCTTTGATACTTTTTTTGCAATTTTTTTTCTAAGATATGCGTTGTTTTTTGTTTAGAAGGAAGAGGGAGATGACCATTCCGATTCGGAAGAGGACCGTGAGAAACAGAAAAGAGAACGTGAAAGACGAGCGGAAGCTAGTCTTCGAGAGAGAGAAAGAGAAGTACAAAGAACTCTCGCTACACATCTGCGTGATAGAGATAAAGAGAGACAGCATCATCGTCATACTGAAGCGGTTCAACATTTTAGTGCACTTCTTGCTGACTTGGTGTGTGCATTTACTCTCAATAACTTGAATAGTTGCTTTCCAGTAAGAAAATCGGTATAGAACAACTTGTATAGGTCGGTTTTAAATATTTATAATCACGAACTAAAGCAAAACTTTTCTTATTTGACAATTGTAAATATGTAGCATTTTGAAACTATACTAAAGACATTTTTGAATATAAAAATTGAATATAATCGCGCCGAAAATTGCCTAGTGTCGATTTGTTGTTCTTTGCTGGAAAATAATACAGTCTATACTTGAGATATTATTATTTCTAATTGTCATCTTGAAATATTTGCTTCAATTTTAGGTAAGAAACGGTGATCTGGCGTGGAGAGAAGCAAAGCGACAACTGCGAAAGGACCACCGGTGGGAGCTGGCAGAAAGTTTAGATCGCGAGGAGAAAGAACGATTGTTTAACGAACACATCGAGCAGTTAGGTCGCAAAAAGCGGGATAAATTTCGAGAATTGCTCGACGAAGTAGGCGCATCAACCGAGTTGACAGCATCCTGGAAAGACATTAAAAAGTTATTGAAAGATGATCCTAGATACTTGAAGTTTTCTTCTAGTGATCGAGTATGTATTACTTATTAATTTAGAAAGCGAGTGGTGATCAAGAAGTTGTTATTATTATTTACGTGTATATTTTTATCTCTTTAGAAATGCGAGAAAGAATTCAAAGAATATATCAAGGACAAACTTGTTGCTGCCAAAGCCGATTTCAGGGAACTTTTACAGGTGCGTTTGATATATAATATATCGCTGTAAGTCTAAAATCTCGGTGCCGTTGTTGAAAACAATGCGATTTTCAGGAAACAAAACTCATCACTGATAAAACGTACAAAAAAGTTCAAGAAAACAGCTCGCATCTAGCAGAGATTGAGGAAATTCTTAGGAAAGATCGAAGATTTCTCGTACTCGAAGCTGCAGCCGCTGAACGAACTCGATTGTTGATGGGTTATCTGGAAGAATTAGCACGTAGAGGTCCCCCACCACCTCCTACTGCCTCAGAACCATCGAGAAGACCAACTACAAAGTAAATTTCACTTAAAGACCAAAGATATCGAAACCTCACGTTTTGTCTTTACGGACGTCTTTTCTGACTCAAGTATTTGTGTTTGTTTCAGTTGAAGAGTGGTCTACATCGAAATATGGTATACATATGATGTTACAGTAACAAAAATGAATGAATTCATAGCTGTAGTTAAATTAAATTACTTTACACACAAGAATATTGCCTGTATAGGATTCAATAAAAATAATGAATGCCAATTCTATACGATTAAAATTGTGTTACATTGTGAGATACTGTAGTAAACATTATACGTTGAACGATATTAAATAAGACTTGAATTTGAAAACGGATACTGGTGACACTATGTAACATAGTTATTTTACATAACAGTGCTAAGAATGGATTCTATATACTTATGTCGTCTAAATTGACTCAAATGGAATAAAGAAGAAACTGAATTGAAAACAAAAAAAACAACGTACGGATTTTCTAACAGTAAAGGTAACACAGTTATTGTAAAATTATTGAAAAATATTACTATTTTACCATTAAAATAATTATATTATTCAAGTAATCCTATATTAACTACAGATTCCTAAAAATGTAGATCCGTTACTTATAGAAATTAATATAGAAATGTACGGAAAAAATAGTAAAACCGGTCTATCGAAAGTATATCGAAAATTCGATTTTTAAAATCAATTAGTATTATTCCATAATTTTTAATTTTTTAATATGCAATATTTTGTAACAATTTTAAATAGAAAATTTTTTAAATATTTTTTAGGATTCTACTACTTCAAATTGACTCAAATATACAAAAAGAATTTAAGATTTCTATCAATGTTTAAAAGATTACAATAATCAAATAGAAATGAGCTGTTAATTAATTAATATTAAATTTCCAAATTTCAATAGACCGTCTCCACAATTTTTTCTATACATTTAGATCGATACTGACAATATTACAATATTTAAATATTTCTGAAAAAATTCACACTTTAGAAGATTTGAGTTAGAGTTTAAAAAATCATGAAAAACCAACCAGAAATAAGCCGTTAATTAAATATGTATTGGATGTGTGTAAAAGTTCTAACCGTTTTAAATGCTCAAACTTCAAGGCAGAACTAAACTTTTGTATACATCCAATAAAATAGAATTTTTAAGTTTTGATAAACCAGTTCTGTATGTAAAAACCATGTTTTTTTTTTCATATATTTTTATTGATTTAATATTATATTTTTCTAATCAATAAATCTATAAAATTTTATAAACAATGTAAGGTTTAGAATATATTTACAATATTTATTGGAGACAGAGTTATCGAAAAGTATCGCTGTCTAATAAATATTATGTATATGTTTATATTGGATACCGTTACAATACACAACGGCTCATTGCACTTCCTGTTACCCGGTAAGAATATAAATTGACAAGTTAAATAGTCAGTGACTCTTCTCTGTAGGTGGCGAAGCTAGCGAGCGTTACGTCAGAGCATGTAGGAAACAATCGAGTATGGAAACTCCTCACTCTGGAATTCTCATGGAATTCTTACGAAATTTTAACATCCAGTCTGCATCTTCGCGAAGATATTAGAGCGCTCTTCGTTTTTATACCAATGGAAAACATTTGTACTACATTTGTGTAAAATATTCAGGTATCAAAAATCATATTTTTTTTAAGAAGATAATTCTTTTTTTAGAAAATATTTATTGCTTAATTATGTAAATATCATAGTTATGCAATAGAATGCTATTGCATCTGAAATTTTTTCAATATTTTTATGAAAAAAGGCTATCTTTTTAAAATGACGTTACAAGAAAACCGACATTTTATTCAGTATTCTTGAAAAGGAAGGAAATACAATCTCGCGATGAAAAAATCAATAATTTTACGAGTAAAAAAGTGAAAACACGAATTTAAATTTCGATGTATGTACGTTTGTCATATCGAGCGTGTATCTATCAAAGAGCTATCGGAAGGAATTATCATCAATCGAATGACATCATGCGACGTTACTTTCTCTGATGTTTCCGACCTTGCCTTGTTTTTCTTCTTTAGCATCTGTCCGGATATGAATCAATCTATATTCGATATTAGGCGGACCGATAAAGGTCACCGGTGACCGGTGAGGGTTAACGAACGGGTGGGGTAACAGGATGGACTTGAGAGAGTAGATTTTTGCGAAAGGCCTACCTGTGGAGGTCGAGGAAGTGCCGTAAGAGACCCTGAAATCCGACTCTCCGGCACGGCGAGTCGTATTTCTCGCCATTTTAGTAATACAATCGATATATGGATTGTTTTAAGCATTTCCTTTTAATATGATCGAGATTTATATTCCATGTAAAATAAAATATTCTACATTATAATATTGTTATCATTATGAATCAAACGTAGTTTTTCATAAGTATTTTTTTAAATTTATTTTAAAATATTTTTTATTCAAAAATTATTATTACAGTGCAATATCGTCAATAAGTGCGTTATTTAAAGTAAAAAACCTATAAATTGTTACACGAAACAAATTTTTTTAAATTTTATAACGTTTTCGAAGCAGGTAAAATTAATGGAAAAAGTCTGAATTAATCTGTGTGCTTTAAGTATTTATGCATATATAAATGAATTTTAATTTAATAAACTTTTTGTTGCAGTATTTGCAAATATATCATTAATAAATATAAAGATAATACTTTAAAATATGAATAAAAATTGATTTGATTGTCTATGATGATTGATTTTAAATGTCTATGATGATTAAATATCCACGAAAGAAAAGTCATCAAAATTCAGAAGCTATAAAAGAAGGAATTTTTATGCATGAATGAATGTTTTTTATTTATTGTTTTTTTGGTAATTTTTAGAATTGTCAATTATTTATGTTCTAAACTTTTAGCTTCTAGTTAAAAATATATACGATTTATTAATATATATATATCGACAACGTAATATCGCCAGGAAATCTTTCTATTTTCTATTTTATATTTTTTAAACAAGAATCCAAAGTATACAATACGGATAAAAGTCAGAAAGTATCTGCTATCCAATTTGCTGTTATTATCAAATATAATAATCTTTTTAACTTTTACAAGTTTATTGCAGAAATTAATGCAATTAAAAATGATGTTTTGAATAACCAAGCGTTCTTTTCAGGTATTTCAGTTACAAAAATGCTTCACACATTATTACTGCGAAACAGGATGCAAAACTCGCGTTTCTCGCGAGGCGCTAAGAACATCACCGGCGAGAATCGCAGCCATTGTCATTAGGATTCACTGTCGCCTCCTTTTCACGTCGGCCCTCTTCTGCCCCCCTCAATCATTTTCGCGAGCACCAAAACGCAGGCAAGATCCGTCGATCGGAATGAAGAGGAGAAGGGATTTACAGCGCGTTTGGAAGGAACGGTGGATCCTGGCGGCCTCGGCGTGCCAGCTCCGCCTTGAGCGCGCGCCTCGGCCGAGTGAAAGTGGGATTTTGCTTTCTACCCAGTTCGCGTTCGCCAGTGACAAGCGCGCCGTGCTCGCGAGCGAACGCGCCGTTTCGGTGGCGGCAATGGTCCTTCTCGTGCGCGGCTAACGGCACTGACAAGTCTCTCTCGCTGTGAAGAAGGAAGCGCATCCGCCGACGCGACGCCGTGTGTCGAATGGGGACCGGTCGCTCAATCACGCGATGAGCTGACGACCCGAGGACCCGCGCGTGCAAGTTCATCGAGGGTCCCGGAACATCGCCAAGAGATTTGAAGACCAGGTTGGAGACATGCCGCGACACCGACGAGGAGCGCCTTCGCGCGGCCAGGTCCTTCTCCTGCGCTTACTGCTGATCTGCGCGCTCGTCGCTGCCAGTCGCCAAGAAGGTGAGCTTATCGCAATCACGTCTGTCTCGGGGGTGCTTTTGCTTAAAGCACCGCTGCTTCGCGTTCCGCTTGTCAGAGCGCGCTAAAATTAAAGACGCTCGCAATCCTTTCTTGAATACAGCGAACGGAAAGGATATTACTCGGGAAGGGCGCGAGTGACGGGCCGGTCGACGGGAACACGGTGAACCTTGCACAAGGAATTTGAATGTTTACACGGTTTCTCTTGTTAGAATGCGCCGCGTTGATTTAATTAAGTTATGTCTTATGAGCGTTTATGATTCGGATAATTTATAATTATTAGAAAAATGAGAAGAAAGATTCTGAATATAAACTCTTATGAAGGGAAATTGACAGAACTATATTCTTTGATTAATTTGAAATCAATTTTGCATCAACACAATTTTGATTTAAAACCAGTTATGGAAATATATAATATTTAATATTACAAATATGTACATTGAATTAGCAAAATATTGGAAGTACTTTAAATTCACTTTCTTTGGACTGTGTTTCTAATTCGAAGTATATTTATTAATTAAGAATCGGCATCAAATTATTATGATAATTTGATACACCTTTATTATGAATTTTTTAATTAGAAATTACTTAACACAAATTTATGACGCAACCGCAAACATGATATATCTGTTAACTTGCAGTTTTATACATCCTTGAATCCTTTCATACATGTGAAAGTATAAAATAATGCACAACTATAAATCTGTGGATATGCAAACTCAGTTTAATCGCTTAAGGTTCACGGACCTTTTAATTCGATAATATATGAAATAAATTTCTATATCTATAAATTTCTTCATTCGTTGATACACGTAAATCTGCAAATATTTTGCATTATGTGTTAGTATGATATCCAAAAATCTGTAAATTTATGCTTACAGAGATCTGGAATTACATACTTATATCAGGATTAAGTAACCATGAGATCTCAAAATCCGCTTTACAGCTTACAGCTATGCATTATTCGTGTAGGTAGGCTGTCCCACTTTCCATTTTATATTTTAATATAGATTCCTTGGATAGTCGCCGGTTCTTTATTAATGAATATATATAAAAATAAGAGTTACACATTACTCTTCGCAAATTACCAATATTAAATATTGTCTATTTTTGTAAGCTTTAAATCGTTTAAAATTAAAGAATATCATTCCATTATCTTTATAATCTTTTCGTTTGTGAAAATTTCTTTATGTACCATCGCGCTAAGCTTATTACGTCTCAAAAACTATTAAAGCCTGGGATGTTAAAGAAAAATCAATTTTTGACATTAGCCCAAAAAAAAGGTTGTTAAAAAATAGAGCGATAAAGTGGAACATGCTGCGAGTCGTAGGATGTCATATCTCATTTGAGAAATACACGACTGCGGTAGTTCCTACTTGTTTCTTTGGTCTGACAATTGTCGCCTGCGGTAACGCGACCATAACATACTGATACTCGAAAATGTTCTCATTTGCAACCTTGAATACACCAAACGGAACATTATTCGCGTAGATAATGGTCGCTGGTCACGAAAGCGGCCGTGATATTTGCCCGCACAGAACGTAATTCATAGCAGCGCGATACGCAATACAATAGAATTGCGATACAGTTGCCAATAGCGCGGTCCACTCGGACCTTATTCTCGGGCCTAATGGACAGAGATCGTCCGTCGTGTCGTATCGAGCGGGGCAAGCCTCGATTTGTAATACCGGAGTAGCGCAATCCTTCGCAACCTTGCCTTTGTTCACCATTGTTACGCTTATCGGCGATGCACGCGAACACGGTGGATTGGCAAATGATTGTCAAAACAATCGTACCGCGTTACGCATGGATGTGCAATGAGTATGTCATTATTGGCACATTCTAAGATCTACAATATTATACTCTAACTCGCGTATTTGCGAATAACGATGCAGATTGTCTCTCAGCGCATTATCCTCCAACAATTGGACTTCGTTATTTTTTTCGCGGAAACTATCATGTCATTTTCATGTTTCAGTATTAATATTTTCAAAATTCGCGTGCAACAGAGCTTTCATTACAAAAGAATATTTCAGAGAAATGAGAAAGAGAGAAATTATTTGACCAGAAAGCATCGAAGTATATAAAGTGTATGTTGACACTCTTAAGATATTATATCTCAGTTTGCAGAAGCAGTTAAATATTAATTCGAAAGAAAGTGAATAAATTTCAATTTCTTTTCAATATGATTAATCGAATATTAACAGAAATGTGCCATATCATTTTACGCCTTTGCAAAGAAATGAAAGTGACATCGGAAAGAAGTGACATCGAAAATCACACATCTATTTATCGCCGACGCAACAAAAGCAAAGGAGCACAAAGCCGAGTTACCGTTACTTTTTATAGAATCGAATCAACAACGGCGCATTGAGGGACAGCTTACATTGAAATATCAATCCGTGAAAGTCCCTCGCAATCGCACGTGACTCTAATGAAATCCCGCGCGCACCGGCGACGCGCGAGGCATCTCGAAAAGGTCGAAACGTCTTTTTGCTCGCTCCGGAGACTCGCACGAAAATTCCAATATGGTAGAAAGTGAAACGACCGCGGCCACCTAATATGCTGCTATTCGAATCCGCGATCCAAAAATAAATTCCTGCGTCACGTGGGCGAATGTTGTCCGGCCAAGTGCGACGCGCCTCTTTTCTCCTCGCATCTTTGTCCAGCTCGAGTGCATCTCGAATGGCACTAAAAGCCGCAGGAATTCGGACGACGTTAATAGTCGCGGCTGATAGCAACGAACGACCTTCCACTTTTGGATCGTTTTAACGATCGTTTTAACGTGAATGCGTTACGTGGACCGGCAGGAATTCACGCGCGATTCGAGTTGAGTGGCTCCGGATGATATAAAAAAGCCGAATGCATTCTTGAGCGTTGATTTTCCGTAATTTCTTTGCTTCGCGAAGAAACAGTATCGATATCGCCGGTAATACTGTACTACAATTGCAAATTGCATGCAGCTGCCTTGTGTCACGGCCACGCGGAGGAGTGGTTCTTACGTACCTTGAGACGCCAAATACATGCAGTATGGCATATAAAATATAAGCAGTTTGCATTGTAAGAGATGATTATAATAAAGATTTCATTTCGATGTAAGATGAAGTGAAATGTAGGTAAATTTTACAAATAAATCGAGTAAATTGCGACGCGTAAAATAAATGATCAAATATTTCAATGAAGTGAATCGCAGTTTGACGTTAAAAAATTCTAAAATAGAAATCATATAAAAACAACTTGTAAAAGAGTAAAGAAGGTGGGGTCTGTGCGTGCAAAATTAAGATATGCGATTTGCATTAAGATATGCAGCAAGCATTAATTAATAGTTGACCTGTTTCGAAAAAAATGTTAGAATCTTTGCGTTTTTCATTTCACGCATACGCGTCATTGCAATGTACACATGTGCTTTTTTCTTTTCTTTCGTTTTCGCCGGTCTCGTGCATGCGACACGGAACGGTGATCACACACACACACACACATACACATACATACGCGTGCCACGCACACAAAAGGAATTCGGAGCATCGACGTTGAGAAATATACGCGCGCAGAGCGCAAAACGACCTTCCCCGCGCGGTTTATTTTCCCAGAGGTGTGACGCCTTTTCTCAATGCAATCTGATTCACGACGCCCATCTGCCCGTTGCTACTGTGATCCTCCACGGGCAGTAGTCATCAGAGACGCCTCGCAACATCGCGAGCAAATTGCGAGATTGGGAAAGCCTGACACATCATTCAGAGGCCAAGAATGTATCAGCCTGTCCCTCGAAGGAAACGTTGATTGCTTAACATGAATTTGCGTTATAAAGTTAGAATCTTCTTCGTATTAGTGCAACGCACAATGATGGAGACGATATTTTTGTAGCATAAAAATGCATGCATTAATCTATTTAATTTTCTTTTAATCGATAGTATTTTTAGAACTTAATTTCTCTGCAAAATCATAATATTGCAAACTGTTAATTAATTAAAAGATACATTTTTAAAAATTACTGCGAGGTAAATCAGTATGAGTCGTATTGCATCGAATTAATTATTGTTCAAAAATATTTGTAAACAACAAATTTTATTATATCTTTTTACCTGGCATATACATTCGATTTAACATTAACACGCATAATAATTATTTATAAATTTGTCCGCGACTCTTTTACTGGCTGTATCTTAGAAATTTGTGCGACGTTCGCGTTCAAACGTTTAAAATTACGTAGTTCGTATAATGTAGATTCCTTCGCGCACCATTTTGAAGCAATAGTTTTCAATTATAAGACTAATATATATAAATGTGATCCTATTCGCGCTTATTTAATCGCAATGTACGGTTGGATTTATAAAATTGATCTCAATTTCTAAAAATATGTATTAAAATATAAAAGTTAGAGAGAATTTTCTTTGCGCAAATAAGACGATAAATTTGAGAAAGTGCGAAGAAATTTGAGAATAATATATGCGAAACGAATTTCTCTACGTAATAGCAACAACGCAACCTTTCCTTGAGAGTAGTGACGGCCTTCGAGGAGAGATCTTCATTTTAGAGAAAGTTTATAAAATCACATAAACAACCAGGAATAAAACTTAGGAGGAACACGTGTTATATATTTACTGCTCGTCTATTACTCTCTATCGCTGTATCTACTACCTGTCTACCCGTTACACTCTATTTCACCTACGCTCTTTCACTATTCTAACCACTGCTTCTCTTTCATTTAGGAAGAAACTTGTAGATTGCATTAATTAAATAAGTAGAAACTTAACACACTTTTCACGTAAACAGATACAAACATCATTCCTTTTGAACGCTTCGCCGCTAATTTCTGCAACAATTATAACACACACTTCGTAATCCGTAATTGCTGATAATTAATCTTCCGGTGATTAGACTGATTTATAACACTTACTTATTGCTTCATTATTTCTGTCGAAAATTTGTTCTACATATTCTCTTTGCGTTATTTTCTTTCACGTAATTAAATAATAACAAAT